GCTCAAAATTGTTGAACTTGAAAACAAAACAATGTTGAACGGAATTGTTTAGCAGACAGCATTCCAGATTATCGCATAATTGTCTGGTTGTCCAATTTTAGGCCAAATGCGTGCCAACTGACGGTATGACGTACGTGACGGTATGCCGTACATAGGCTATAGATCTAGATCTAGATCTAGACTCTATAAACGCTCTTTTGTGTTCTAATTTGTTATTCTGTTCTGGGTATCCCCTGTTCTGAAATGTTTATAAATATTACCATAAAGATGAAATTGTAAACAATATCCATCATCATTTTTATGCCTACCACGATCTGCACTTCTGTGGTAAACACTAAACAGGTTGTTGTGTTTCCTGTTCCTTTTGTCCCAAATCAAAATTACCGTTGACGTCGTTGATTTGAGCACAGTATTTTTATAGCTTCGCAGTAAATCACAACACAAACAAAATGGAGTTCGATACAGTATTGTGTTGAGCCTATTATAGATTTGTGCTTGGATACTTCCATCGTTTTAAAGTATTTGACTTGAACATAGAGTCTAGATCTGGATCGTGAAGATCTATTATGTTGTCTTAATGCCAAAATTTTCATGTTTTGTTTGACGAGGTTTCACCAGAATGTCTTCAAGTAGTGATCAGGATGAGTTTTACGACGCCCCCGACACAACCCCTCACCACAGCCACGGGTAAGTTAAATCTAGATCTAGAGATCTAAATCTAGATCGATCTAGATCGATCTAGATTCATAAGAATAGATGATAAACGTATCTTTGTAACCGTTTTCATCGGTGTGACGAAAAACAAAAAGCCCACTTGTTGGCTCTTGGTCTTGACCAACAATACCTGATTATGATTACATAGATCTATACCAATAATATAGATCATCTAGATCTAGATTAGATCTAGAATTCTAGACCTTATATCTAGAGTCTAGATCTACATCTAGATTATATATATTTATCTAGATCTAGATCTAGCTAACTGTTGTTCACTAGATCTACTTATGGTGGTCCCGACTTTTGTGGCAGGGAAATCCCAGATCGGAGTGCTTATTCAATAACTTATTGGCCCACAGGAGCATATAAAATTGGCCGGCACTATTTCTCCGAACGTTCGGGAAAATAAAGCTGGGCACTATTTCTCCGAACACTCTGAAATCAC